CGTACTTTTTCAAAAAGATACTTTACCGATTGAGCCCATACATGCTTCGCTAATCCTTCATCAGCAGTTCGATAACCGTACAATATCTGTTGAACGCTGTTCGCTAGATACTTAATAATGCCGCGAAGAAGTGAGATATAAAATGTTGATAATGTAATTGTAGCAAATAAAATGATTATGTTCTTTGCTATGTCTTTTCACAGTACATATATTGTGATATCGTCTCTTACGTATATACGTACATACGTACATACGTACATAAACAAATACATAAATACATGCATACATACATACATACATACGTTCATACGTACATTTATATGTACGTTCATCTTCGATGCGATGGACTTGGCGGACTTAGCGGCAAAGGATGGTATCTCTTTCGCTCGATCAATTTTCGGCGTATATATTCTTTTACTCAGTCTATGTCTTAACGCTCGTAACTGAAGTTTACGATTGAATGAAAAAAGCTATATATACTATTTATATACACTGTCAGATCGGTGACATGTCGCGACGCGTTAAGAGAAGCGCCGATGTTTCGGCTGCTAAACTAAACATAACTCTTATACAGTAAAATGAAAGTGATACGCCAATGAAAAATATGAAATCACTCTGCGTTTCCACAATCCTTAAATTTCTTCGAAGAAGTGTCAATAATGATTTTTTCTGAGAAGAGATCGATGGCATGTCGCGATGTGTTAAGAGAAGCATTGGGGCTGTTTATATAAACATATCAATGAGGTGTGAAAAATATAAACTGGAACCACTAATGATGCTGCCTTATCTACTTTTAAAGAAAGTGTGGCCCAATAGTCAAAGAAGTCACAAATGAAATATGTATAATGTGTTATAAGCGCTCAGTTCCACAGTTGATGTCCTGGAAGACGAACGAAATAAGTCGGTCGCAATAAGTATAATGGGAAAAGTATGGCTAACGTTGGGCAACGTTCGTGCGAACGTTGAGAATATAACCAATGTAGTCGAGTATATTAGAAATGTGGAGCCGGAACAGTTCGCGAATATTAGAGATGAAATGTTCGAAGAAATGGAAGCCCATGTTGATATCATTCGAAGAGTTCCAGGAACGTGAACGGGTGGTCATTGTCACGTATTGAATTTGGCTATCAATGTTAACAAATTAAATTCCATGTGCGCGAGATGCCATATCAAAGTGTCGCGGAAAATAGCGACGAAACGAGCGGTGATCAGTGTGCGTACGACGGACAATGCGTGCTTTGCGTGGTCGGTGGCCGCTCTGTATCGAGCTGAAAGAAATGCGGATCGGAAATCGTCATATCCGCATTATATGACAGTATTGAATCTCGCGGGTATCGAATTTCCAATGACTTTAAAAGACATTTCCAGATTTGAACGTTTGAACGATGCGTCGATCAACGTGTATGATATCGAGAATAAACAAGTTCTTTCTTTGTGGCTCACCAATGACAAGAAGGAGAAACACATCAACGTGCTGTACATGCAAGATCTACGCGACGACAGTGTTGAACATTTTGCGTGGATAAAAACTCTATTCTGTTTCGTAAGATCACAACTCACCAGAATGGAGCACAAGAAATTTTTCTGCGATCGGTAAATACACATGAAAAAATTATTATAATTTTCCGTCTTACTAATAAAATAATGGTAATTGTTATAATTTTTGTTTTTTTCAGATGCTTGCATTACTTCAGTACGAACGAAAAATTGCATTCGCATGGACTGTGGGAAAATGAATGACTGCGCCATTCGACTACCGAAAGTGGACAACAAGTGGCTCGAATTTGGGAACTATTGCAACAAAGAGCGCATCCCATTCATCGTCTACGCTGACTTGGAGTGCGTCCTACGTAAAACGAAATCCGATAGGAAAGATGCGTCGTCGTACACATAGCAACAGGACGAAGTATTTAGTATAATATACTACGTGCGATGTTTGTACGATGACACGTTATCGTCATATCGGTTTTGTCGCCATGAAGATTGTATAGCGTGCTTCGAACTCCAAGACTTGGCACATCGTGTAAAAAATATTGTATCCGCCCGTAATGTGCCCATGGAAATGTTGTCGAAAAAACAATGAGAGGCATACCGTAACGCGACGCGCTGTCACATTTGCGAGAAACCGTTCGCGTTGGACGATACGCGAGTGAACCATCATTGCCATCTCATCAGTAGATACCGTAGTCCAGCGCATTCAAACTGTAACTTAAATTATAAAAATTCATTATATGTTCCGATCGTTTTTCATAATTTATTAGGCTACCACGTGCACTTTATAAATAAAGAAATTGTTGTCGCGTACGATGGATTTGTATGTGTACTGCCGATAACCAAAGAAAAATATATTTCGTTCACTAAACATGTTAAATATATCGCCGAGAGAGCAGACTCGCAAAAATGTATGAAATTATGGTTCATCAATTCTTAATTTAAATTTTTCAGTACAAGCCTCGATAAATTGACGTTGTTTCTAAACAGAGACAAATTAAAAATCATACGTTCCAAATTTTCAACACTATCGGATTAAGAATTTGAATTACTGACTTGTAAAGATGTCTTTTCGTACGAGTACGTTGACTGCATCGAAAAATTGCAGGTTACCACCGCGCGAATCATTTTACAGTTCGTTAATGGGCAATACAGTATCCGAGAGCGATTACTCACTCCGTGAACGTATGGCGGATTCTCCATATTAACGCGAGTACAGTGATCTGTACTTGAAAACCGATGTCTTGTTATTGGCCAATTTCGAAAATTTCCGCGAAAATTGTGTCGCGAGTTACGGTTTCGATACCGCGCATTATTACACCTTGCCTGGTTTCACGTGGGACGCGATGTTAAAATATACGCGCGTAAAGTTTGAGTTACTCACCGACATTGATATGATCATGTTCATTGAGTATACACGGTATATGCGGAGGCCTCAGGCTTCAATCAATGTTCAAGCATATACGCGCAGGCTAATAACAAGTACGCAACAAGTGCGTTCGTACGATCCGTCAGAACCGTCGTCATACTTGATGTACTACGACGTTAACAATTTATACGGGTAGACGACTATTGCCATACGCCGAATTTTGATGGGTCGAAGACGCTGCGAATTTTGACGTGAGCGTGATCGCTTTTGACTTACCCTCCGTTTACATTCTCGAAATCGATCTCGAGCGATCCCGCAGCATTTACATGATCAACACACTAATCTACCTTTTTGTTCGACGCGTATAAGTTGCCCGGCAATCGTGAGACTAAACTTCTAGCGACACTAGACTTCTAGCTACGATAAACAGCGTTATGTTATCCATTATCGCAACCTGTAGCAATGTATTCGTCACGGTCTTCGCGTAACAAAGATCCATCGAGTGCTACAATTCGCGTAATCTCTATGGTTTTGCGATTACGTTGAACTCAATACAAATTTCAGAACAACCGCAAAAAACGATTTCGAGACAAATTTATATAAATTAATGAACAACGTGGTATTCGGTAAAAGAATATGTAGAATATGAGCAACCATGTTGACATAAAATTATTAACAAAATGGGACGGACGGTACGGCGCGGAGGCAATAATCGCAAAACCGAATTTCCACAACCGTAGCGTCTTTGCGGAAAATTTGATCGCCTTCGAATTGCGCAAACTCGAGGTGAAGTTCAACAAGTCGATTTACGATTTAGATATTTGTATATCGACATATCGAAAATCTGCTTATACGAATTTCACCACGAATATATGTTATCACTGTTTCGCGACAAATGTAAAATTATGTACACCGACACAGACAGTCTTATATACTGCATCGAGTGCGAGGACGTTTAGACTATGAAACGCGATATCGACACGAATGATTATCCGATGGACAACGCATACGATATATCTCTCGCGTACAAAAAAGTACTCGGTCTGATAAGGGATGAAAATAACGGTGCGATAATGACCGAATTCGTTGATCTCAGAGCGAAAATGTACGCGGTGAGAGTGAATGGTAAGAAGGACACTAAAAAGGCGAAAGGCATAAAAAGTAACATGGTAGCGCGAATGATAATGTTCGACGATTACATTTACGCGCGGTGTTTCAACGAAGAAATCGAAATGTCTCGCCGTCAATCGTGTATATATTAGGTGTTGGAATTAATTCGTAGCGTTTTTTAATGAAAGAATGTTATTTATTTCACATGAGCATTAAAAAATACATTAATGAAAGTACTTCCCATCACTTGTAAAACGCTACGAATTAATTCCAACACCTAATATATATATATATTATATATATCGTGAAAACCTCGTGGAGTTTAAATCGTATATATATATATATATACGATCTAAACTCCACGAGGATTTCACGATATCCGAATCGAAAATCGTTCTGAGTGCATACGACAAATGATATATCGTACCGGACTCGATGGAGACCGTAGGGACATTGTCGAATATCTTTGTAATATATATGTGTGTGTGTGTGTGTGTGTGTGTGTGTGTGTGCGTGCGCGTGCGTGTGTGTGTGTGTGTATCAACATTTATATTATTATTATGTTTTTACATTTTTTATATTTTCATACAGTGTACATATTATTATTATGTTTTATGTATTACTATTTTCTTAGGTATTATTTTAATTTGTACTTTGTGTATGTTTTTCTACATTTTTAAAAATATTTTTATACAGTTTGCATATTATTATTATGCACCATTATCATTATAATTTACACGTCGTGCATGTTTTTTACACTTATATAAGTATTACTATTATGTTTTATGTAGTATTTATTAGTGCCATTTATTAGTATCATTTATTATGTATTATTATTATTTCTCATTTGTATCGTACATTTATATACATATTTTATATCAGTATACTCAAAAACGAAGATGGAAGGGATAATAAAAATATACGTTTATATACTTATGTTGTTATATATTTGTTACATCTATACAAAATATATGAATCAAATGACATTGTTTTTGTGTGTCCATGAATTGTGCGATCCATCGAATCTCAGCTACTTGATGTATACCTTGTCTCCCTTCCTGCGCAGCACTTTCTTCACGAGATATTCATCCGGATGAGTAGCGCAATGCAACTCGTGCTCGTAGAACTCTCCAGCAACGGATTTTCTGATAAAGAAAATCTTTCCTCGAATAAATAGATTACGGGATTGGCTGATTAACAATCGTAAACACCTCAGTGGTCCAATTTGGCGTGTAACCATTCTCACAAATCGTCTTGTACTTGCTCACGCGTACCGAATCGCCTACTGTGAATTTTGTAGTACCCGCGATCTTTATCGCGCTGTACACTGTGTCCAAGTCTTTCGGCGGAAGTTATGTCGGTGGGTCGCATGCCGATGGTGCGATGCTTGCACGCATGCTTGTAATCTGACACGAGACGCGGCTGTTTGTTAACCCACTTGTAATTGCCATTGAGCGTAAATATCTTCCACATGTCGTTCTTGAGCGTGCGATTGAACCGATCACTGACGCTTTCAACGTCGAATATGTAGAATAATGATTAACGTTTTTTCAAGATTTTCAGCGTTGTAAAATGCTTTCCCCATATCCGTTTGTAAATTTTTCGGACCTCTTCCACTCGCTCGAATTATCTTAGCGATAGCACTAATCGTCTCGCTTCTACCCTTGCTCTTAAGTGGTACGGCCCACGCGTACTTACTCAATACATCGATGACGGTGAGTATGTAGTAGTGGCCTCTGTTGAAGCCCGAATACGCATTTCAACGATATTAGCCTGCCACAGATCGTCGTATTCCCGGATTATGATACCCCTTCGTAGAAAATTTCTTCTCGCAGGAGCGTGTAATTCCTCAAAGAGCCGACGTTCCTCGGAGCTAATGAGATGTGTTGAGCAATCGTAGACGATCCACCTGCTCGTTGGGATCGTCTCAGTGCATGTAATCGATCGCGTGGTTGTTGCGTGAGGTAATCCCTTTCCAGATTTCTCCTTTTGTTTCTTGGATGTGATCAACATCAACGGCGCGATTACATGTTTGTACTTATATGTACATGCTTGTACTCCCATGTTGCTCAATAATCGACTTTGCGAATGATACTTGTATTTGTGGGCGTTCGTCACCAACAGCATGCTCTTGTATTTGTGCATATCGTTTTCCGTGTAGAGGGTAATTCCCGTCGGGAATTCTCTTGAAAATCAATTCGTAAAGATCGGATGTACCGGCGTATCGTACGCCGTCGGTAATTATGTTGTCCGCGTCTTCCACGGCAAAATGTTTATTGCCAAACATTAGCCCATCCTTGTGTAGGTAAATGCCATACCGTTCTCTTTATTTTGCGTTTCCCTCAGGACAATCTCGATGTACTTTTGACCCAGCGGGCCCAAGTCGGCTCGTAACGCCTCTCGACCTTCCGACGTTTGCAGATGATTTTGAATCAGCTAGCCTTTGTCGCTAGCGAGTCTTCCGTCGTTTCGAAAACGTTCTCCAACGACTCTATCGTTGGTACGATTTTGACATGCGGAGTGAAGGTTATCGGTTGTTCACGATCGAGCGATCGATCATTGGATTTATGCAGAATCGTGCAAAGCTCGAACGTCTCGATCACTTCTTCTCCCTCCTCTTGCTCCTCTTCTTCTTTCCTCTCACATTTAGGACCAGACGCTGCATTCTTCGTCGCGCGACTCTCTCTTTTGTCATGCGCACGCCGGGGCTGTCGACAAAAAGTCGCAACGGCTTGATAAGAGGTTTAAAATGTCTGTCCAACGCAATGCCCTCCTCGATTTTGCCGATCTTCAGAGCGCGATGTTTCTTGCGGATCGACTCGCTCGTCTTCTCGATCTCCCTCGTGATTTTTTCACGCTCGCGCACATCTGCCATGTTCGTCTCTGGCTAAGTATCGACGACTGGTCATGTTACGGTCATGTATCGCGAACTCGTTAAATCCTTTTCTGTATCGTCCGTTTGTGAGCTCACTGTCTTTATCTATCATTATGAATTTATATTTTTTTGCCAACAGCGACACAAAGCGCAAAATTCGTACATACGACATGACGGTATTCACATGATCATTGTAAACGTGTTTCAAGATGGTACCGTCCTGTTTGAACAAGATTAGAAGGTTCAGGTTGTCGCGTATCAGATGTTTAGGTATCCTCACGTACATCTGACAGAGATAGAAGCAGTCGACGTTCGCGTGGCTACACTTTGAAAAGTATTTTCTCACCGCATCCTCCTTATTGCATGCCACGTCATCAAAGATAAAAATAGATATTTGGACGTGCCTCGCTCAGTGGACTGACGTTGGAGAATGTAAAATAGCCGATTTCGTTGATAGATGTAAACAAATTTTTGAGATACTTTGGCTGTTGTAAAGATTTCAAGTAGAAGTACACGTTCTCGAAACGTACGCCATTCGGCTCTCGAGTAAGTTTATGAGAACATTGGTTTTATCGCAATTCGACGGGCCGCAAATGATCGCGCGTATAGTACTACTTACATATACTCGGCAGCATTTCGCCGTGTCATTTAATTACCTCATTACTCGCGACACCGACCAATAAAAGTGCGCCATTTTTTCACGTCGACGAGCCTTTTTTCACGTCATCTAGGCCACGCTCCCGGGATCGGAGGTGGAGGGGATTTGTGAAGGCCCATAACTGCTTATATACTACTAATCAAAATATTTACGCTCAATTGCCTATATACTACTAATCAAAATATTACGTAAAATATAATCGCATTATTAGCAACGATTATTAGCATCTCAGATTGATTATGTGTTTAAAAGTCCGAACATTTCGGCGCACAATCACATCTGAGATAAATTAAATCCATAAAACCAAGAATTACAATATCGGAATATCTAACTTTGATCGCTTTGGCGCTCTCTAACATATTTATGCTGTACATTAACTCAGCTAAATTTTATTTCTAAATATCGCTGATTACATTTTTTCACTATATATGTCAGTTGTTGCGAAGAATATTTCCAAAGCCTTAGTGGTCGAATTGACCAATAAGGAAAAGTTCACAATTGTCCGGAACCGATTTGATTCTCCATGAGATATGTTGTTAAACACGAAAATCTAAGAGACACGTATTTTTTTATAAGTACTCATGTTTAAAGGGTGAAACGTCCCTTAAAAAAGACGATATTTCTTTCAAGGCAAATATCGTTGGAAGTATAAAAGATACAAAAAAAGTTTTTAAACAAAAGTACGTTTAATAAATACTTTAAAAATATAGATAAAAAAAATTTTGTTTGTTTTTTTTAACAAAATGCTTCCATCCATAATTTTCAAAAATTTTCAAATTTCTTTTCTACCAAATTAAAGATTATTTTTTTACGAATTCAACCATATGCAATAAAGTTATATTACACAATATCATTTTCGAGAATTAATTATTAACCCTTCCGTATATACGTAATCCATGCTCATATGCATAAGTAATTGTCGTTGGAACAGTAAAATGTATGTCCAGTCCATCCGTGAAGAAGAATGTGAATCCGTGTCCAAGAAGAATCAATGTTTGGAAAATAAGTTTCTTCTAATCACATTTTAAAATAATCTGTAAGAAATGTAAATATTAAATTAATAATTATTTTACGACTTTTAGGAGATTTTTAAATAAAATATAAAATATATTGGGAGTACAAATTAGTTCGGTTAATTTTCCAAAAGTTAGCTCTAGCTGTTGTAAATGGTTCATAGTGACAACTGATTTTAGCATTTTCAGAGAGGTTAGACATCTGCTAATAATATTCAGTTTATATCACTTTGAGTTTCATACAAAAACATTGATTTTTACTATGTTTGAAATGTCGAATTTTGTGTTAACCAAGCAGCATTTGCGAGAGATTCTAATTTTTTGCTTTAATTGGAAGAAAAGTGTAGTTGAAGCCCATCGAATTGTCGAAGTTTATGATGACTCTGCTCCAACTGATGAATCATGTAGGGAATAGTTTCGACGTTTCAAGGATGGAGATTTCAGCGTTGAAGACAAGCCTCTCTCTGGACAGCCAAAAAAATTCGAAGACAAAGAATTAGAGGCATTACTCGAAGAAGATCAGAGTCAAACGCAAGAGGAGCTTGCAGAATCATTGGGAGTAACTCAACAAGCCGTTTCTGCACGATTGAGAGCCATGGGAATAATTCAAAAACAAAATTGGATGCCTTATGAACTGAAACCGAGAAACGTTGAAAGGCGATTTTTCACTTGCGAACATCTGATTCAAAGACAACAAAGAAAAGGTTTTTTTGCATCGAATTGTGACTGGAGATGAGAAGTTGATATTCTACGACAACTCCAAGCAGAAAAAATACTACGCTAAGCCCGGTCAATCGTTGCCATCGATCTCAACATCAACACCAAAGCCGAACATTCATGGTTCGAAGATCATGCTCTGTATCTGGTAAGACCAAAAGGGTGTTGTTTACTATGAGCTGCTGAAACCTGGCGATTCCATTACGGGCGATCGGTATCGGCTATAATTGATTCGTTTGAGCCGTGCATTGCGAGAAAAACGGCCGGAATGCGAGCAAAGACATGATAAAGTTATTTTTCTTCATGACAATGCTCGGCCTCATGTCGCAAAAGTCGTAAAAAAATATTTGGAATCGTTCAAATGGGATGTTTTACCGCACCCGCTGTATTCTCCGGACATTGCTCTTTCTGATTGTTCCGAAGGATTCAGCACGATTTGGCAAGTCATCGGTTCACTTCTTTCGCAGAAATCGAAAATTGGCTCCAAAATTGGATCGCCTCCAAAGACGAGTCATTTTTTTTGAGATGGAATTCAAAAATTGCCTGAGAGATGGGGAAAAGTAGCCAGCGGTGGACAATACTTTAATTAATCTGTTCATTCATTTTGTTTTGAAATAAATGCATTTTTGAACACAAAAGATTAACCGAACTAATTTGCATTTATTATTACTCCTAATATCATAAAAATGACACAGAGATTATAATTTCATTATATTATATTTCATTATATTATGTTTGTGCAAATTTATATTTATAATACTTTTTAATAGTAAAACAGTATCTGAAAATCTGTTGTGAAAGGAAATTTATTTAATTATCTGAAGTTATTTTACCAGATTTAGAAGCTTTTACAGTAACATTTATTAGTGTAAATAAGGTTTCTTGTACTCTAGTCCAAATATACTATTAGTTTCTTTTAATACTCTAAATAAAGGTGACAGCAAATTTCAATTGGTTGTATAGTGTATGAGTGTGTTGTTGATGATATAGATTGCTCAACACACTCTACTTTCTTTATTCCTTGATTAGATAATGATCTTCCAGAATGAATTTCCAATTGGAAACTACTATGATCAAAATTAAAAACATTTTTAGATCCAAATTGTTCGATAAGTGATTTCATTGTACTCAGAAAATTATCAGCTGTATTTTGCAAATTAACAGAATCTTCTATTATTCTTCTAGTTACAAATTTCGTAATTTTGTTCGA